GAATCAAATACATCAGATACGACTGAAACAGGATCAAAAACAGTATGGTCATAGGATCATACAGGAGAGGAGTCATATTAGGAGCAGAAAAACTCGACTTTTTCAACAAGAAGGAGAGGGTTTTTTCCCCTACAGACCACCTGTAGTTGAAGAACTTGCTTCCTCTGAGCAAAAGGAGGATTAATGAGTCATTTAGGTATTTATTCATGTTGACATTTTGGACTGATATGTGGATTCTGTTTCATTTAAAATGTAGTAATGATGAGATGGTTACCTGAAGTATTTTTTGTGGTCTGAGTTGAGCCTGAATGGGTGAGGTGAAGTTGACAAGGTGAAGAACCATATCAAGATATAGAAGGTTGTTTCTTTGAATAAAGTAGTTTTACTTTTCCTAGGTAAATTGGTTGAGCATCCCAGCACAGTACCTGTAATTCACTTTCTAATTATGTAAAAAAACCCAAACCAACCAAACAAAAAAACCCACCAAAAACCCTACACCCAAAGCAAAACATATCCTTATATGTACCAAATGCTTAAGAAGCCACAACAGCTTGAAGACACTGCCTTTGAAGTAATATTTTAAAAGCTGGCAAGACTACTGCTGTTTGAATGGCTGCCTTTTTCAGCAGTGTGTTATATTGTTGAACAGTTTTTCACTCCTGACTTAGAAACTGATTATGCATCCACTGAGCATAAAACTTTAAGTAAGAAGAGAAGTCAAATCAATGTTTTTATAAAAATGCACGAGCCACTGCCAAAGTGTCATCGTTTTGTGGAGGTATGCAGAGGGTCCTGGCATGCGGTCTGCTTGGGTTAGATTCATTTGTCTGTGACCCAGGCAGATTTTAAAGTTTAAAAATCTTCACTTTCACTTGAAAAATCTTCCTTGAATACACAGTAAGAAATGCTTTTAGCTCCTCAGCATGTAGCAAAAAATAAGTCCAAATACTGTTTGAAAAACTACAAACCTTTTAAAATTTCAGAAGCTTCTTACAAGAATTAAAACAAGAAGGAGATCATGAGTGGTACGATGGAGTTTTCTGCTCCACTTTCTGCAAAGAATCATGCAGAGAGCCCCATGTACCTTGGGAATGGAGTAGCTGCACTGCCTGACGTCAGGTACTCATGTGGGTGATCTGAATGTTCCCCTGCAAGCCCTTACTTCTCCCTCTTGCCTCCATGGGAAATTCAGGCTCCTTAATCCCAGCGCTCTCCCTTGCACCCTACTAGCAGACCAAGAGTCTCAGTGATGACATCATCTTCAGGTCCTCTCCAACTGCCTTCTGTGCCCACATGGTTAAAATTGGAGGCGATGGGGATGGGATACTTTAATTTATTAAATGTCCAAACTGAGTCTTACCTGATTGTTGCCAGTTAAGGTAATGCATAGGAAACAGCCATATCCCATATATTCTGCTCAAGGCTCTCTGCCCAGAGCATATTCAGAAAGGGACATATGAAAGCAAGTGGTAGAGTCTGCTTAATAAAAGAGTAGGCTTGGTCTGGTCCCGCTCTCTTAAACTCTAAATTGGCTAAGCAATGCTCAAAGTACCATGATGTCCTAGTGTCAGAAGTTAATTTCATGCTATTTCCCAGTTCTGATGTCATCTGCCTGCACCAAAAGCTTAGCCTGCATACAGACAGCTCTGCTGGTGTGTACACTGTCTTCCCAAGCAGTGCATATATAAATGGCATTTACAAAAAGCAGTGCGTATACGTGTAAACTACTGCAAAAGCTATATAACCGGCGTTTTCTCATCAGCTTATTTTCTATAAGCAAAGACTGCAGTTGTACATTTCTGAATAAAGTAAAATACTTCAGTGTGTGAAATTTCTGATTTTTCTCCTCTTTGAATTTCTGAAGAATCTGGTTTTATGCCAAACCCACTTTTATGGCAATATGTTGATTTTTATCGATAGAGTTATAGGAAGTGACTACATTGTATGATCACCTTGTCTATCATGCCTGCGCGTAGCTTTGAAAGGATGATGAGTGCCAAAAGTATAATGCAGTCTGAGTGTAATTTATGAGAACAACATATGTGTGAATGTTTTAGGAAATCAGCATTGTTTAGATGGAGCTGAAAAGATTCTGAACTCTGTCATCATTTTGAGGATCTTTAAAGTGAAGTGCAAAATATAAAATAATGTGGATCTGTGAAATCCTCAGTGTTATGTTATTTACCCTCATCACAAAGCAAATGATTGCCTGTGGAAGCTCTGAAAGTGCTATTTCAGTCTTCTTACTATATATTTCTTAATGCATAGTCTATTGCTGTTAAAGATGTGTTAAATTATGTTAAATGAAACTTTTCAATGACCTAGCATAAAACAAGTCCAATCAGAATGTAAAAAATAGTGAATGTTTTCATAAGCGTTTTGAAGTAGGTTGCAAAAATCTCACTGTTTGGTTCACCTTTCCTACTTGCATCTTTAAAAAAATACTTTTAATATTTACAGTTGTAATTAAGAGATCACCTACACGAAGACTAAGCCTGTCACTGTTTAGTTGTTTTAATGAAAGAACAGTTATATACTTGCAATAGATCTCTAACATAATTGAGGAAATAATATAGTGAAGACATTAACATGGTTTTTTGTTGTTGTTGTTATCAATTTATTGAAATAAGTACACCAATTTTTGTTGCTTGATATTTGTATAATTGGTAAGGTTAGTTGAGCCAACTGCTTGCTTAGGAAGATTCACTCCATGTGAATCACTTCCCCGATTCACTCATTTTAGACTATCATCTTACAAATGCTTATATGAATAACTTTGCATATATGTGTAGCAGGGTTTCAGTGAAATGAATGTTGATGCAACTGTTACCTTAGGTTATAGAATAATCAAACAGAGGTTGTTTTCATTTTGTTATTGTGGAATACCAAATGCTTTATTGTGACTTAACAATTAAACATGTGTGCACATACTTCAAAGTTTTATGCATAAAATAGAACGTATATTAATGTGTGATATCTATGTATAAAATTTACAGATACTAAGAAAAAGCACAATAGTAATGGTATATTTTTATTTTGTAGCTTGGATCATCCTCCTCTGTGCCTTTCACATCTATATTCTCGCAGCTGTTTATGACTGTTGTAGTCCCCCTTATTATTGGACAGGTATGTCTTTTAAATATACATTCTTATTTAAAAAAATAAGATAAAGAGAGCTATCTTAAAGACAGACTGGCAACCTGGTAAGCTGCCACATAGGAACAGCCTCAGGATAGTAAAGTCTAATATCAGAGAAAAGATGCTACAGTGCTCCCTGGAGCCACATTGATCTTTGTTGAGATTGAGCATCTGTCCCTCAGTACCACAAACATACGCTACTGCATATCGAGAAGGGAGTTTGTGAACATAAAGTGGGAAAAATGGCAGCCCAGACTGTGAGAAATTTCAGCCCCATACAAATGAGCTTTGAGAATACTATATAGTCCTTTTGTCACATGCCCTTTGCCTGGATGATGAAGGAAGTTCTCTCCGTGTAGTATCTACTGCTAATTACAGAAATAAAAAATTCTCTGCATTAAAAAACATATAAGGGCTAAGCAGTCAGAAGTTAAGAAATAATCAAATTAAGCGCAAGCCATTTTGCATATGCTTTACAATAAGGGTTTTAATTGCACAATTGCAAACTTCTTTCTGCATGATTCTCTGTCATTTGTTACACTGGATGGAGGGTATTCATGGAATGAGCAGCTGTTCAATATTTCATTTTACACTCATTATTCATATTGAAACACAAGGCCTTATTTTTCATGGCATATGATTGAAAACTTTCACTGAATATAAAGATATGAATTGCAGTATAAGATTTTCTGTGACACTTGTCTCTGTAGTATCTCTTTTTTTTTTTAATATTAATTATTTTTTTCTCCGTCACGGTGGGAAATTGCTATATTAAGACCGAAAGTTGTCAGAAGTGTCCACTATTCTTGGACACTTATTTGGAATTTGGAGTTTTTTGCAGTTTATTCCTAAGGGGTATCATTGCTGATTCTAGAATCCAGTTTAACTCTGGGTTCAGCTGGAACTTTCTGAATTTTCTCAGCCTAAAGCAGACTTTGAAATGGAAAGGTGGTTAAAATGTAGGTAAATGGAAGTGGAGTCTATAAAGGAACACCCTGGACAAGGTTAAGAATATCTGTCATTGCCTGTGCTATGTAGAACGGTCAATCAGTCTTGTATCAAACTCTAATTGCACATTTCAAAATTGGTATGTGCTGTAACTTAGCAAAGTCCTACTGAAGTTTGTTTCTTATGGTCAAAAAAACCATTAAAGTCTAATAAGATAAGCATGATAAGCATGATAGTAGCCACCAGCATCAGTACCTGCATAACCTGGATGTAACCATACCATGTGTAAAATGGACATAACCTTTGTGTCGCTGAAGACTACTGAATTGCTCACATGCTTTGAGTTACATGACTAAGAACCTTCGTATTAATTTGGACCACAAAGAGTTGCTGATGAACCTACCTGTGTATCACATTCTTATCTTGTCAAAGTTACATTGTCTCCACCAAAAGTGTACAAGCAAATTACTTGAATCTTCTAGTCCTGAAAGGTCAAAAACCAGGAAGCTATTAGTTGGAAATTTCTAGGAAACAAATAGCATGGCAGCAGATCTAGCAATAAAGTAACCTATAGTGATAAAGTATCAGCAATCTGTACTGCAATGTAGTAAGTCTGAAGATGATGGTAGATTGCTAGACAAAGTGATTGCAAAATTTCAAGAGGACTTTCATCATCTATGTGCATAATGGAGTGTTACTTTGGAAAGATGTTACAAGAAATTGCTATGTGAGCTAACTGGTGGAGTTGGGGTATTTTTTGGCTGCCGCAAATAGTAAGTCTAAGTAACATGAATTGAGCAGTAAGCATATGAAGTGCGTGCTCTGAATGATCAGAAGTTCAGAATCAGAGTTGTGGTGAGACTGAACTGAGAACAGATGTAATTTTGGAGTTCTGATAAAGAATGAAAGAAGAAAATAGAGAATCTTAAAGCTTGTGTAACTCTATCACAAATTTATTTAAAAGTGTGGTTTTTACAAATACACTTCAACAAAGAAATAGGATGATTCTCCTTTAAAAATGTTTGAAGCAGTTTCTGGAAATTAATTATCAACAGAAATAGCTTACATTCTCCTAAGCATAAAGACTTTGTTTCTAAGGTTATTGCACTTGATTATATCTGTACAGAGGATATGGAAGAGAGGAAATGCTAAGGACAGCTACAGATCAAAAATTCCAAAGGTAGTTCACCTTGATTAGGCAGAGCTGTACAAAGGTAAACCAACCTGCCCAGATAGGAATAGAAGCTATTTCTGAAGGTGGATATCCAAAAATAATGTGCAGTAATCAGGGAAAAACAATAAGCAAGAAAAGGACTGCCACCAAGAGGTACAGTGATGGGTCTGCTTGCCCTTCATCCGGAGGTGGCATGGATCTGCTCCCAACTAAATGGGAAATTTTGCATTTAGTTCGTAGACCACTACTCACTTGTTACTGAACCGTTGCACAACATGCAGCACAGCAACGTAATACTGCTTTGTGAATCACAAGTTGCTTACTCTGGGATTCCAGATGCATTAAGAGGTAATGGCCCACAATTCATGAACGCCAGTTTCAGCAACTGCTTCTAATTTATCATTTCATGCCCACAAGGTCAGTTCCTTACCATGCACAGTCATACTGTTCAGCAGAAAAAGTCAGTGGAAGAATGCCTGGTAAGGTTACCTGGGAGCAAGGGCTTGATTGGGAAAAAAATGAGCTTGGAACCTGCCTGCTTGCAGGATTGCATCTCTTCAGCCTTCCTAACTCAGCTGTGATCAACAGAGGCTTTGAGCTCGATCCACATCAGTGTAAAATAGAAAAGGCTGCTTAAAGGAAGCATTCTCCAAGGGCTTTGTTTTCCTTTAAAAAAATATCGCCTCTGGGAAAACCTGTGTTGCCTAAACGCTCATTGCCTGAGCAGGCTGCAGAGCCGGCTGTTTGAGCAACCCCTGGGATATAAGCAAAGCGGATGAGAAGGTGCTTTTAGATTTGTTTTGTTTGGGGTTTTTTGTTTGCTTTATGGCAAAATGTATCAAGAGTTTTGGTTGCTTGGCTGACTTGTCAGAATTTTTAATGATGGCTGGGAGAAAGAAGTCACAATAGTGTAATTGATGCTTATTTTCTGCTCTTTTTCAAACAATTTTTCAGTGTGGCAAGACTGCCGTTGACAGGAGTCAAACGTGCTTTTCTAGCCACTGACAATGAAATGTGTTGGGGCGTGCAGGTAGAGGCTCTGCTCAGGTGGTGGCTGCCATTTGTTAGGTAAAGAAAGAACTGTTAAAGGAGGAGGAAGATAATTATGTTATCAGAAAGGCACTGAGTCTTACAGATAGCTGTTACTGATAGATGGTCTTCAATAAGGAGAATCGCTCTGTTTTTTGCCAGAGATGTGCAGGTTGTCTAAACCTAAAAAAAACGTTGTGTCCTGCATCCTCTGTGTCTACAGATGTGTTTTGCTAATTGACAGTATGATGTTACTCAAATCAGTATTGATAGTATAATATTGTGTTTGTATTTATAGCGTAACGAATAAGACCTTTCTGACAAGAGGTGTTGAGAAGAGACATAATCGATAGAACATTAGATCTTCGTAAAATACTATAAGCCTTGAAGATCTGTAGTGTGTAAGAGCTGCACTGTGGATTGTGCACCACTCTTGTATACCTCTAAGGGGATTTGAGAATACTTGTTATATGATGAACATGGTAATAGATATTTCATGGAAAAGATTTTTGAATTTGCTCTGGCAGCTTGAAGTTCTGATTATTTTTTTCCTGGGTAGCAGAGTTCCAATGAAGATTGCAGCTCTTGAGCTGTTGTGATTTTGCTGAAATAATTGTTTCCTTGGCTATAGATGTTGGTAATACTTTTAGCCAGCAAAATGTAAGGTTTCGAGAAATGTCTAAGCAGTTTCTTCATGACTAGTTGTGAGATTTGGCTGAAGACTGTTGTTTCTTTGCTGATTTTTTTCTTCTGAAGTGACAGATAACAGGAACAGTGAAAACCACTGCAATATTTCCTTTTCCCTTTTTGCAGACTTTCTCCATTCTCTACACCTAGGTGCTTGTGACAGACTTTTATTTTATGTTTTATATTAAAGACCGATTTATGATTAAATGTTAATGAAATAGAATTTTCACTGTGCTTTCATTATATTCTACTAGTTTGAACATTTTTCAAAGCAGCACACCAAAACCCGCTGTTTTCTATGAATAAATAATAAAAAGCTTGTCTGTACATTATCATTCATGCATTCTCTGGTTGCCCCATTGGTAATTTGTCTGCCAGCATAAAGTGGGCACTTCACATTAAACAGACCTTAACTAAAGCTAAAATTAATGTTATGATTCTAAGTAGTTCTTCTTCCCAAATCTATAAAATTAAGTCAGTTGTACAGAAATCCTCGCTGAATCTAGTCACACACACAAAAAAACCCCTTGATGTCCTACAAGTAAAGGATTTTAAGTGCCTTCTGCATCGTTGCCCAAAATGTTCCAGAGGAGCCTTATCAGCATTTGGGAGGCGTGCTTATAAACACAGCTCTAAAAGGGTGCTACGTTGCAATACAAGTTGTCAGTGAAATTGAAACTAAAAAGCTTAGCAATGTATTTATTTTTAAAGAATTAAGAAATTGAAAGGGGAAGGTCGGTGGCAGTCACTAGGGAGTAGAAGGAACTATTCACCTAACCCTAATGTTTGTTTATAGTGGGTGGATGGGAGAAACAATAGTTAAAGAAACTGTTATAAAAAGGGAACAGCGTCAAATCCTTTCTTTCTTCTGACTTAAATCCACATGGAAGTAAGTCCTACTTTCTCTTCAAAGTCCAGGGCAGCTGCAGGGAGGAGGAGTGGTACCCTGGGAGGGGTGAGCGCTTCTGGAAGCTTGTTGCAGAAAACTGAGATGGCAGATAAACAGCCTTCAGACCACGGTTCGCTCCCTTCTGACTCAAAACCGGGAACAGAACCCAGTCTCCACAGAAATGCAAAATATGAAGAAAACGTGCTGCTGCCACAGTCTCCCTTTACACTTTTGCCATGTTGCACCTGTTTGTAAGGTTTT